TTTCTATACGTATTTATCGTGAATCTCCTGAACATTTCTCCTTTTACACACGAAAATTGCTTAAAAATAAAATGTTATAAAACTTTAAATGCTAATACATAACAGATGTTATCAAGCTGAATCAATTTTGATAAAAAATGTAGAAAAGACTATATCAAGAATTTAAAAGAAATTGTTAAATATATAAGACATGTATAAAAAATATTATAAATAAATTTACACTATATGCAAAATTTTTAAACGAGCGTCCGTGAATATAAAAATTAAACAGAAAGATAATTAAATCTTTATTATTAAAATAAAGGTTCAATAAATCAAGGTTCAATATAATCAATAAGCAGATAAACATACGCACACATCCCAAAGTAAAAATAGAAATTACACTTGGAAAAGGTCGCTACCAGGGAAGTAGAAAATACTTAGACGATGTTGTCGATTACAATTCATATGTTATTTCGAAGGTCACGTCAGATGTAATTGTTCCGGTATGCCTGACTTATAGGACATTTCCGCGAAAGAGTCGCGTTAGAAGAGTCCGTTAATAAAAAAAATTCTTGCCGGGATACGCATCAAATGTCACATCATGCGCGATTAAATGTCGCCATGTTGTACAAAATAATGGTATTATTCAAACTAGCCATATAATTGTATGGTAATTGTATGGCGAGACTTGCAGTACGCAGCGGATGAACGTAAAATTTATATGCTTTATTAAAATTCAATTGGTCACGTGCGCCGTGTGGACACTACTTTAGGACGAAAAACATTATTTAAAACAAGCTGAACAATGTGTACGAAATTGCGCAATGCACCAGCAAAGCCGAGATGCATAACCACCGCATAATGAGTTTGCCGAGTGTCGGAACGTCGAGTATCAATTTCGCATTACATAATAGAAAGAGAAGAGAAGAGAAGCGGGGGGGGGGGGGATCGAGGAACGAGCGAGGGGGGCAGAATTGAAGTGTGTGTCCTGTACTCGCGCTAGTCCACACAAACTTTCTTATTCCGCCCCGTAGTCTCGCTTCCGGTTGTGTAACAGGCGCCTACGCCGCACGTTGCATCCATTGCGTGTGTGCATCACTCTTTTCTCCTTACTTTCTCTCTCTCTCTCTCTCTCTCTCTCTCTCTCTCTCTCTCTCCCTTTCCTTCTCTCCCGTCTCTTCCTCGCGCGCTCGAGACCCTCCGTTCGTCGGTATGTGTGTAGTCTTCCACCAAACGAAATACGTCCACGTTTATTACGTAGACTTTTTAATTTTAAGTAATTACGTTATTAAAAGGTAAAGGAGGAGGTGGTAGAGGGAGGGAGGAGAGAGAGAGAGAGAGAGAGAGAGAGAATTCGTGCAGCTTGTCGATGGCTCGACAAACGGCGATAGTTTTTTAGTTGCCCAGCCGACTGTCCATATACCAGAAACGGGAAATACAAATGCAGGAAATAACGTATCCTGTGCGACCGATAGCTCAAGGGTCGTCGTGCGCTTTTCTCATCTGGATCAATTTGCCCACCTGCGTGATGTATGTCCTTCTCTCTGATATTTTCATACGGCACGTCGAGAAGATTGGAAGACTTTAATTACGTTATCCTCCCGCTGCGCGCGTAACGATGCATCGCGCGTCAATGTGAATGCCGTCGTTAAGTATCGTATTGCGATTATCGTCGGAAGTCGCATTCGTGAGAAAAACGATCGCATGTAAATTGTAAATTGCCCGCGAAACTGGAACATCTCTCTCTCTCTCTCTCTCT